TCTTAAAATGTATTTACCATGAAATATAAGAAAAAGGGAATGGACAATTCCTTTTAAGGAAGATTTCCAATACAAGGGAGTCTTTTGCTTAGCTCTAAAACAGTAAGGAACTTAAATATGTGTAAATATTTTCTTTCCCAAACATCTTGGGTATTTTCTGTAGCTTTCCTTCATTTGACTGTTTCTAGCCATAAAGCAGGAGGAAAAAGAGGTGAGAGTGTCATGGGTAATTTTAAATTTGAACCTCCTGAGTCTTAAATAGGACCCCCATCTCCTAATTGCCTATAGCCCTTCACCCTCTCTAAAAAAACATTTATTGGGGTGCCTGGCTGGCTCTGTAGGATGGAGCATGCGACTCGTGATCCCAGGGTCATGAGTTCAGGCTCCACATTGGACGTGGAGCCTATTTAAAAATACATATATATATACATATATATGTATATCTCACATTTATAATTATTTATAATTATCCTATTCAAGGTCTACCTTCTTCACAGATTTTGGTCTTCTTAAAACAGTGCAGCGTGATGGCTTCAAAGCTGGCTTTGCCACATATTAGTCATGTGATTTTGTGAAAGTATCTGACTTCTCTGCACTTCAGCCTACTCATTAAAAAAGAGTAGCTCCTCAGAGGGTTAGTATGAAGAGTAAATGAGCGAACATGACAGACATCTAAAGCATAACAGGTACTCAGAAAACATTTGCCAAGTAAATAATTGTTGAATGAGCTGAGTGAGTCTGCTGTTTCTTTGGGGGAAGGACAAGCCTTTAGGCGAGACAGGCTGGATCTACATGTCAGCAGACAAGCCCCCAGAATACAGTTCAGAACCGTCCTCTGTCCCAAAGCAGTTGTCAGAATGAGTATGTGTGACCTGAATATGGCCCACAGCTGGCAAGATAAAAACAGTCATGTCCAGAAAAACTGGAGAGGAAAACAATTTCATAATGTTATTAAGTTAATTACATTTAGACTAGTCCTGAAATATATTAAGAGAACAAAACCCTCCTACTTCTGTTGTTTTTTGTTTTTTTCCAGCTCCTTTACTTGGACATCTTAAAAGCATCTACAATTAAGTTTTTCCCATAAAAGTGTTTGGAGGGCAACATCCCACTAAAAAGTGGGAAACAAGGGGCTCCTGGCTGTCTCAGTCAGCAAACATGCAACTCTTGATCTCGGGGTTATGAATTCATGCTCCACATTGGACATAATGCTTACTTTAAAAAAATGGGGAACAGTTGCATAAGGAAACTAAATCATAAGGTTCCCAATTCTCAACCGAGGCCAACAAGCTCAACAGTGGCTAAGAGTTCAGGATTTTGGTGTCAGATTCCAATTCTACCACTAGCTTTTCTCAGTAGTAACATGAGGGAAAAGAACAATACTCATCTCATATAAAAACAAAAGTAAAGTGCTTGACACTTAGGAAGTTTTCAATAAACAGCAGCTGTTATTTTTATCATAACGTTAAGATCATATTGATACAGCTTGTAGGAATAAACTTTTTAGTAAGTGACTTAACCTTCTGGGACCTAAACACCCCAAAGAAAATATCAAGACTAACAATCTGCCTGGGGACTCTGTCTGTGGAGGAGAAACAGACCACATTTGGGCAGGACTGTCTTTCATACAACTTCTTGTCCATAAATTTTAGTTTCCTCTATAATTTACCAGGTTTTCTGAATAGTCACTGTTAAAGTTTCTCATTTGATTCTTGAAACTCTGGGAGACAGTTACTGCGGTAAGATTATGCCCAAGGTAGTGAGGAGGAATTGACTCAGCAGGCTGAGACTTGCCCAAGGTGACCCAGGTAGTAAGTGATGGTACTGAGATCTCAGTTCAGATCCTTGAATTCTGAATTCCACCCCCATTTCACTATGCTATGCCACCTTACCATAAGTGCATTTACAACCGGGCAAGGTTGGTATAATTTTTATTGTGTGATATTTTACGACAGATACTTTATCGCTCACATCTTCAAAGGCTAATCTACTGAAACATCAGGCCAAATGCTTGGGCCTTTACTAGCCTCAGAATACAGACAAAGATTCAGAAAGAATGGAGGAAGGAGAATTGACACATACTTCCTTTTTGCTATTGACCATAATCTCTACCTTTTCTCTTTCCACATTTTATAGTGTATTATCGTGACAACCATTTATATATATATAAATGAGCCAGCTTTAGTACACTTGGTCACTGGTTTGAGTTACTTTATGACCATTGATGGTTTAACTCAGATTAATTATTAAAGAAGTTACAAAGTTCTCCCCAATCTGAAGAACTGTACAACTGAAATAAACAAATCAGTCCCTTGATTCTGCTTATTTTCAGGCATTCTCCCAAAGGAATATATTCTGTTGACATGACTCTTAATTACAATAATACATTTCTTTGTAATCCACCTGCATTATACCATTACAAAGTGAATGCACTGTCTTTAAGAAAAAGTGGTCTTGCCTGGGTTTGGTCATATTTACATTCCTAAGACTAACTGTCAGCAAAATCTTAACAGGATAGTGTTTGGGCTTTTATATTCCACTGCTTCCTTCAGAAGCAGCCTTCTGGGGATGTATTATTCAAGAGGTCTGTATAGAAGCTCGGTTCTTCTGGGCTTTCTTTGTTGTCTCTCACCTTCAATGAAGTACTGATGTTTGACAAAGCCCTCTGTTCAGATATACATTTAAAACTTTTTAATGTTTATTTATTTTCGGAGAGAGAGAGATAGAGAGAAAGAGAGAGACAGAGTGGGAGTAGAGGAGGGAGAGAGAGAACAGGAAACACAGAATCCAAAGCAGCCCCTAGGCTCTGAGCAGCCAGCACAGAGCTGGACTCGGGGCTTGAACTCACAACCGTGAGATCATGACCTGAGCTTAAGTTGGACGTTTAACCAACTGAGCCACCCAGGTGCTCCTGTTTGGGCATACATTTTGTAGGTAGCTGTAGGATAGGGAAAATGGTTTGGAAAAACCAGAGCCCAGGTTTGAAACCTAGCCCTGAATCACACACATGTGTGATTCTCCTGCCCTGAGCTCTCGTTTCCTTGCTGTAAAATGGTGGGTAATGTTTTCCTTGTGGAGTTGTTAGAGGGTTGCAATTAGATAATGTTTGTAAAGCACTTAGGCTATGTTTGACACGTGGCAAGCAATCAATCCACTGCTATTTAATAAATTCTAGTAATGGCTTTTGTACCTGTGTTGGCTCTCTAAGGTTTACACACACACACACACACACACACACACACACACACACACGTATATATATATTTAAAGACAACTCAGACTATGCAAAATTTTTTTGGTATGTATAATTTTCTGAGGGGCGCATAGTCTTCTTTAGATTCTGAAAAACATTTCTGTTTTAAAAAAAAAAAAGTTAATCATAGAACCAAGAAAAAGAACTTAGAAGTGGAACCTAGTCTGTGATCACGAAAAGCAACTCAAAAAGGGGAACATGAAGAATAAATATCATGGGTATTCCCGAAGAACCTCTACAAACAGGTAACAGTTTCACCAAACTGCTAACACTGTCCTCACCGTCCTTCTGTCTCCCACCAGAAGGTCAGGGCACAGAGGAGAGCATCCCCCCCCACCTTCCTATGTAGGAAAAGACAACCCACTATGAAAGAGGCAGACAGCAAGCTGTAGAGTCAAACTCAGATTTAAAATATGGCTCCATTACTTATAAACTGTGTGACTCTGAAGTAATTTAACCCCTTCGAGTATCAGTTGCTTCAAATACAGCTTTACTGTTACACTGCTGATTTGGGAAGATAACTCTCCAAGGTGCTTAGCAGAGAAAAGTGAGGGAGAATTCTGTTGATGCTCCTGCGAAGGAGCACTGGGCAAAGGAAATGGGACTTAAATTAGATGGGTGGACAGGGCTGTCTTTACAAACAATCAGAAGAAATTAAGTCCATTATAGTGTCCTTTGTGGGGTGCTGGAAAAGCCCACCCAGGCCCCTAAAATGTCTTTCAGTATATCATCCTGCCTGAAATTCCATCCTCACAAATAATTCCTTCGGATCACTATGAGCAAGGCCCCAGGGAGGGAACCAGCACCCCTGGAGGTTTGTCACCTCTATTGTAACCCCCACCCCCCACCCCCAAGGAGTTAGCCAATAAAGGTTCAAGGTGATAACCCTCTCAAGAGTATTAGTTCCTTCACAGGGGAACAAAATCGAGCCACTCGAGTGGTTTCTGCCTTCAGGACAGGGAAGGCCCTGGTAGGGTGGGGGTACTTATTGAGTTCCTTGTGAGAAACAAAAGCGTAAAAAACGAGGTCCCCAGGACGAGGAGAGTAGAGAGGGGGCAGGATAGGGCAGAAAGTGAAGCTGGAAAGAGAGAGGAAGAATGCCAAAAAGAGACTTTCTTTTCTTTGCAAACATATGTGAGGGGCTAGGGGCAAAATCTCACAGGTCGGTCTTGCTTCTTAAAATGAAATTAAGGGTGGGTGGGGCTGGGGGAGCAGGAATTCCTTCCAGCTCCGGAGAAGGGGGGGGTCACTCATGGGGCTGGCAGAAGGGCTGGCTGGTTGGCAGAAGGGCTGGCCACCGAGGGGATGGGTGGGAAGGAGAGTGGGGTCCTGGGCGTGGGGTGCAGGCTTGCGCCCCGGCTCCATCACTCGCCGGCCGCGAGTCACTTAAGCATTTCCTTGCCAGCATGCGTGCCAAGAGATAACGACCGCAAAGCGGGGGTGCAGGGCCAGCCATGAGGCAACCGCTGGAGCACTCGGGCCCCTGTTATGGCTTTGGTATTGGAAACGTGCCCTGCAGTGGGTGCGTCCCTCGTGTGCCAGGCACGCCGCTGTGCACTCTGCACCCTAACATCCCTAAACCTGACCCCCCAGCCCGCGAAGCAGGGTTCGCTATTCTCGGTGTCACCGGAGCTTAAAGCAGCGGTCGCACGGCTTAAAAAGGGCGGAGACGAGCCTGGGACTCCCAGGCTGGGGCTCGTTCGCGAGGGAAGGGTTGGGTGGCGGCGGGCGACGGCGCGGGGCTCACCCCTGAAGGAGTCGGGGAGCCTCCGGGCTTCGGCGTCCCCTGTGTGCCGCTTCTCAGCCATGTTGCCGGAGCCGGAGACAACGCTGTCCTGTCCTAGTCGCCGGAGCCGGAGCCGAAGCCGCGAAGTACGCCCCGCGGAGACCCGGGAACTAGACCCAGCTTGCAGTCCCGCCCCCTCCCCGAGGCCCGGCCAATCCAAGCTCAGTATGGAAGAGGCCACGCCCTCCTCCCGCCCCTCCCGCGCGACAGCAAAGTGGGTGCCTCCCGCGCGGCCCGCGGACTGAGGGGCGGGGTGTGAGAGGCGCGGCGGCCGCGGGCGAGGGTTCCAGGCTAGGGGCGGCACCGGAAAGGAGGGGAGGGCGCCGCAGAGCGCCGGACGGTGACTGAAGATATTGGGGAGGGGGCTGAGGAGGGAGGCTGAGGAAAAGGGGCAAACGGGGCAGCCCTCTGGGCAGACGAGTTAGAGGAAAATGGCGCCCTCCCTGGTCGGGTGGGGTCTGCGTGGAGGCGAGGAGGCGGAGGGGCACCGGTGTGGCGGAGAGGGAGGCACCGAGGGCCCCGGGCCGAGGGGACCAGTGGGTTGCGAGCGGGAGGAACGGACGCGACACCCTGGAGCTGGAGGGAGTGACTCTCAGGGAGGTGCGTTTATTCCACAGGCTCCAGAGCACCTGCCACGTGCCGAGCAGCGGGCTCCTTGGGGGGGGTACGGGGAGGGGGGCGAGGGGCAGACGCGGTGCGCGCCCTCACGGAGTTTATAGGCGAGCGGCGGGACAGGCGACGAGCAAGTAAACTAACCAGATCTTTACACGTGCAAGGAATGCAGCGAGGGGACCGAGGTACTCAGAGTAGCAGGGAGCGTCTGCTTTGGTTAGAGGGCGCAGGGAAGGCCTCTCTGTAAAGAGGTGATCTTGAGGTGTGACCTCAATTTGAGACGGGATCAGGCGGTGTTGGAGGTCAGAAAGGAAGCCCCAGGCAAAGCAGCTGCGAGGGTATTCCCAGCCACAAGTTTCGTGTTGGGTGCTGGCTGAAACCTTACACTCGAAAACCTGGCTATGTTTTATTCTCACTGAGTTGTGCAGATGCGAAACGGTCAGTATGCCGATGTACCCAAGAAGGTGCACTTCTAAAAACATTTTATTTTGAAATAAACAGATATGACTGGAAGTTGCAAAGAGTGTACAGAGAGGTTATGTGTCCCTGTACCCACTTTTCCCGCAATGGTTACTCACACCTTACTTACCTAGTAGGTATCAGAGCTTGGGAATTGACAGTGGCACAAGGTGTGTGTGTGTGTGTGTGTGTGTGTGTGTGTGTGTGTGTGTTTCTATGCCTTTCTGTCCCGTGCATAGATTGGTGTAACCACTAATGCTATCAAGCTACAGAGCTATGCCATCATCACAAAGATGTCCCTTGTGCACTTTTTCTTTTAGTCTGCTCAGTATTTGGCTAATACCCAACACTTGTGGTATTTGGTTAATATGAAATGGTAGACTTTGTGATTTTAGCTCTGGAGGCTTCTGGCTGTCAGGATGGAAAGTGAAGCAGGCAAGATTCTAACAGGTGTTAAGACAGCAGCTGACCATCTTTCCTGGTATGTGATAAAAGCCTGAAGCAGGGCTGTAAAGCTGACTTCCGGTCACAAATGGGCAAAGAACTGTTTGTATTTTCCTGGGTGTGGAGGGCAGCTTGTGGCAGTCATTTGGTTTACAAGGCTCTTGGCGAAGATAAGGAGGGGAATACACTACTTTAATGATCCTTCCTCTCTAAATCATCCTTGAGAAAATCCACAGCTTCATTTTTTCCATTCCGCAATGAATAAGCCCCAGAGGCATGTACTTCCTGTTTATGCTGTGGTTCCCAGGAAAAAGGAGCAAATGCACCAGTAGCCGATTAAGCCCTTCACTAGAGGAGGGCTTGATTACAAATTGCATATCATGAAAAACCCGCTTTCACTTTGCTGAAAAAGAAAACATTTCAAAATGATTTGGACGTTTGCACCCCTACTTGCTATCTTTGCTCAAGTCTCACAGCAATCCCAACAGCATTACTCCTGGAGAATTAGCAAAGAGACTTTTCCCTTTGGGAACAAAGACTTTGGTAAACACTTGTTGGCTTTGGTTTCAGATTGCATCAGTTCAGGGAACTAATTCCAGGCCCAAACCAAGAACAAGCTTTGACTTGATTTCTAAATTACTTTCAGGATGAGGTTTCCAGATACTGATTCTAAAATGCTGAATTTCGCTTGCCCATGAAACTGGTGTGTTCTGGCTTTCTCCTGTGTATTCTGTATAAATGTATTGATTAAGTATACTTTAAAAGTAAATATTAGCACGTCATCCTCTTCCTTTGGGGGAATTTCTAATCCTGAATTTTCTTCCAGCAATGATTAGAGGTTAGAATGGTTTTTGAGAACTTTATGTTTTAAAAATGGAGACTTCTATAAAATTAAAAATAATTTGAAGAGAGAATTGCTTACAATCTTATCACCTCTAACAGAACAATTATAATTTTGGTGATTATTTTGCTCTAGCAGTTATTTAAAGGATATTTGCATGTAAGTTAAAATCAGAGTATAGTTTCCATGTTTCTTGTATGTTTTATTTTGCTGTTATTTCCCTACCGTTTCTAGGGAACCAAATTAAGTATTGATTGATGGTGATCGTAAGGATATTAAGACGTGGATTTGGTTTAAAGACATACATGCACCATGAAAACGTGTAATTGAATAAGTCAGAAGGAAATTCAGTCTGTCATTTTCCTATGTCCGCTCAAGAAATGCTTTCATAACAACAGGAGAATCATTATTTATTTCCTTTAAATTGTGAATCCAGGCTGTTCTCAATGCCTTTAGTGAAATCAGCCAGCCAGATACTTTTGAGGGAACAACAATATGAACAAGTTACATCTGTTTGTGGCATTTTCCTCAGGATGGAACTAACAAGTTTGATCTGTTTGTCTATGTGGACTAATTCACATTTATTGTATTACAGCAGCATTTTAATCTTATTAGCTCTTCTCTTTAGGAAATTACTCCTGGAATTGAATCATACTAAGAATTTCACCAGAGGATTTTATACATTTGGGCTGTGGCCACAGACCAATTAAACCACGGAGCTGGTAAGAGCACTGAGAGTCCAGGTTCCTAAGTCTTATGAGAATAACGAGCATTACTGAAACGTTGATGGTATTTAGTAGAGCATCTATAGGAAGGCTTTTATTAATCTGCTATTAAGAAGCTCATTTAGCAAATATTTGTTAAGCACCTATTATGTGTGAGGCATCACTCTAGGTACTTGGGATACATCAATGAACAAAAAAAGACAAAAAATCCTATCCTCCTGGAGCTTACACTCTAGTATTCCTTTCTAATTGTGTTAGTTTGCTAGGGCTTACATAACAAGGTACTACAGGCTGGATGGCTTAAATAACAGATGTTTATTTTTCTTACAGTTTTAGAGGTGAGAAGTCCAAGATCAAGAGGGAGCAGAGCTGGTTTCTTCTAAGGAGCCTGTTCCAGGTGTCTCTCCTTAACTTTTAGGTGACCGTCTCTTCCCTTGTCTTCTCTGTACATGTCTATGTCCACATTTACTCTTCTTACAAGGATGCCACTCAGATTAGGGCCCACCCTAATGATCTCATTTTACCTTAAGTACCGCTTTGAAGACCTTGTCTCCAAATACAGTCACATTCTGAGGTTCTGAAGGTTAGGATTTCAACATATGAATTTCAGGGGGACACACTTTGCCCATAATATCACATATGACTATGGTGATTCAAATCTTAGTCTTTCTCATATTCACATCTCTGAGATATTCAAAACTTTTTATGTTTCCCTGCAAAATATGTCTAGGTGACCTGTAATTATGAGCAATATTGTCCTGGACATGATATATTTTTAACAAATCCTAAAAGGAAAGTTCTTGGTTCAGAAGGATATCTCTACTTGAAATGCTGTTCCATTTACCCCATAGTCTACTCTTTTGGCAAAGTTATAAAAAAGAATAAAGAGGAAATATGTTGGAGAAGGGGTTCTACAGGTTTTTGTTTGCAGGTTGCTAGGATTCATGGTAAAATACTGTATATGAACGAAAAGAGAGGCCTATAGAATGACGTTATTTTTGGTAATTCAAGGAATACCATTATCGTCATTTACCATCACCACTAGTTACTAATTATTTTTATCCCATGAGAAAACTAAGAGGGTTTACTCACTTGCTCAAGGTCTCACAGATTGTAACTGGTATCTGCCCCAAGTCTATATGACTCAAGTTTAAACTTTTAACCATTCAGACTTAAATGTTCCTTACACATACACTTCTGAGGAGGTGATATATCTAAGTATACCTAAATGAGTACTCCAGTTTGCCTTCAGTCTTGATATATACTTTTTTGTCCAGTGTTTGTATCATTGTTGATTTGCTGTGTCAAATGCATCTGTCTGTCTTAGATATTGAATTCATAAAGGCTAAAATCCATAACGAGGTCAGTATTGTATAGTTTATTTCATTGTACGTCTTGAATTACATTGAAAATTTAAAATAACTGTTTAAAAGTTTGGCTTTTTTCTTATACTTTTATTTTTTTATTATTATTTTTTAAAATGTAATTTATTGTCAATTTGGCTAACATACAGTATATTGTCAGGTTGGGGGTAGATTCCCTTGATTCATCACTTACATGCCACACCCAGTGCTCATCCCAGCAGGTGCCCTCCTCAGTGCCCATCATCCGTTTTCCCCTCTCCCCAACCCCTCCATCCAACCTCAATTTGTTCTCTGTATTTAACAGTCTCATGGTTTGCCTTCCTCACTGTTTGAAACTATTATTCCCTGCCCTTCCCCCACAGTCTTCTGTTAAGTTTCTTAAGTTCCATATATGAGTGAAAACATGATACCTGTCTTTTTCTAACTGACTTATTTCACTTAGCATAATACCCTCCAGTTCCATCCACATTGCTACAAATGGCAGGATTTCATTCTTTCTCATTGCCAAGTAGTATTCCACTGTATATATAAACCACATTTTATTTATCCATTCATCAGTTGATGGACATTTGGGCCCTTTCCCTAATTTGGCTATTGTTGAAAGCACTGCGATAAACACTGAGGTACATCTGCCCCTATGAATCAGTACTCCTG